CAGTCTGCAGTATGGATTAGATCTCAATATAAAGAAAACAAAAATTCTCACAATATAAGCAACATCATGATAAATGGAGAAAAGATTGAAGTTGTCGAAGACTTCTCCTTACTTGGTTCTACAGTCAATGCCAATGGAAACAGCAGTCAGGACATCAGACGATACATAGTACTGGGCAAACCGGCTGCAAAAGACCTCTTTCAAGTGCTGAAGAGCAAAGATGTCTCCTTGAGGACTGAGGTGCACCTGACACAAGCCATGGTATTTTCAGTCATCTCATATGCATGTGAGAGCTGGACAGTGAATAAGGAAGACCAAAGAAGAGTTGATGCTTTTGAATTGTAGTCCTGGTGAAGAATGATGAAAATGCAATGGACTGCTAAAAGAACTACAAATCTGTCTTGGAGGAAGTGTAGCTGGAATGGTCCTTGGAAGCGAGAATGGCCAGATTTCGCCTCACCTACTTTGGTTATGTTGTCAGAAAGGACCATTCCCTGGAGAAGAATGTCATGCTTGGTAAAGGTGGAGCGTCAACAAAAGAGGGGAATGCCCTCAGTGAGATGGATTGACACAGTGGCTTCCACGATGGGCTCAAGTATAGTAAGGATCGTGGACCTGGTGTGAGACTGGGCAGTGTTTCGTTTGGCTGTGCGTGGGGTCACTATGAATCGGAGACGACCGCACCTAACAACAACAAGAACATCATGCTAGGTAAAGTAGAGGGTCAATGAAAAAGGGGAAGACCCTTAGCTAGATGGATTGATGCAGTGGCTATGATGGGATCCAGCATAGCAACGATTATGAAGATGGCACAGGACCTGGCAATGTTTTGGCCTGATGTGCATAGGATTGCTGTGCGTTGGAACTGACTTGATGGCACCTAAGAACAACAATGTATAAAGTATAATTTTATTTATTTATTTATTGTGATTTTGGTGCAATTTACAAAGCAGATTTGTTTTACTCTCAATAGTTCATGTGCACTTGATTTCACGGCCCTGATTACAATCCCCAGCCATAAAAAACTCCTCTTCCCTTTCCTCCCTGTGACTACTGCTTCCCTGTGCCCTTCTTATCTGTGCATTCCTGTCTGTCCACCTTTCCCTCTGTGTGAATGCTGCCTCTCTGATGTCTTATGGCAGATTGATCTAAGGGGTACATCTCCTTAGGGTAGGTGAATGTATCTCTCTGGGGTAGGTATTCTGTTTGTAGGCCTTTCTGCTGTTGGGCTGAGAGCCAATCCATGGCTCCATGGAAGTAAGTCCATTTCCAGGCCTGAAGAATAACCCTGGGCCATAGTCTCGGGGTTCTACCAGTCTCTATCCGACCTGTAATTGTGGTCATTTTTGTGTTTTTGAATTTCCACTCTATGAAAGGATCATTTTTCCTTCCACTCTATGCAGGATCTCCAATTGTGATCCCTAAAGTAAAACTAACTAACTAACTAAATAAATTATTGTTCATTTTTGCC